AAGTTTATAAATTCTTATTTATACTTAGTTATATAATGCTAATGAGATGATATGTTATGCAAATTGCCTTTTGCAAGAAACAACATTATAGCATTAATTATACATTTACATTAACATATTAACCACTACAACTATACAAAGTAATAATATATTTTGTTACATTTGAGATATTATATTTTATGGCATTTAATATTGATGGTTTCATGATTACATGAAATGAGTCACATAATTTAATCGAATTATATTTTTTTTCTTACGATTCATAGTAGGAGAAAATAAGAAAAAAAGAAAAATGTTAATCTAATAATGTCTAAACTTTTATAATATTTTTTTACATATGTAATAATGTAAAATGAATGTATAAAATATAACTGCACTTTTTTAAAAATAGAATTAAAAATTTATATTGCATAACTTATTATATTAATATATCACAGTATTCTTTTAATTTTCAGAAATATTTAAGGATAAAACTTTTAAAAAAACTTTTAAAAAATAAATAATTTTTATAGCAAAATATTTTCAGTTACATATTTACGAAACTGTTTAAATGTTTAAAATTCACTTACTGAGAAATTCCCTAATAAAGTAACTGAGCACTGTGTTTGTAAATATTCGAGACTCTGTGACAACTGTCTTCTAAGATCGACATTCGATCAGTTAGTGACTAATGGCTTCGGAGGTTACAAAAGATTTAAGATTTACACTAATCATGGGAAGTTGCTTGAAGATTAGAAAACGTAGAAATGAAATGGTATTGTATTTCACAATTAATGGAGAAATGACTTATTCAACGTTATTTTGAGTGAATAATCAAATACTTTTCGTAGTTAATTTATGATATCATTATTTTATGCTTATTAATATAAAAATTATTACTTTTGTTATGTCGTATATTTGCATTTGAATACTTTAATATTGTGAATATAGATTAATTTCAAAAAACATTTTGCATACTGTAATCAAAATTTTTTTACACTCAAAAATTAAAATATTGATATATAAACAATAATAATTTAAAACATTGAATTATTTTGTTATCAAGTTTAAAATTCAATTTAACTCGATTAAAAACTGTGACTCATTCTTTATTTTATTTAATAAATAATTTATTTTTTATGTTGAATTATTTTATTTTATAATTAAAAATACAATTCTATAAATAATTATATTTAACATGTAACAGGATTCTGAGGAGGCTGAAACTCCAGATGTTAAGAGAAAAAAGGTCTTTGATACCAAAGTGGACATTAGGGATGTCAAAGGTGAAGAAAATAAAATATTGCAAAAGGAGGAAGATAGAGAAGTAGAGAAAGTGGAAAGTGAAGAAGAAGAAGAATATGAAGAAGAAGAATATGAAGAAGAAATAGAAGAAGAGGAAAATGAAGAAGAGGAGGAAGAGGAAAATGAAAGATCCTGGAAAGGTAATAAGGTAAAAGGAAGTGCAGAAAAGGAGAAGGAAGAAGAAAAAGAAAATGAAGTGGTGGAAGAGAACGATGAAGAGGTGGAGGAAGACGATGAACAGATGAAGGAAGACGATGAAGAAATGGAGGAGGACGACGAAGAAGTGGAGGAAGACGATGAAGAGGAGGAGGAGGAAGATGATGAAGAAGAGGAGGAAGAGGAAGATCAAAACAGTGATTGGAAAGAAGATGAAGAGGAAGAAAAGAAAGCAAAAAAATCAGCAATTGTTCAAGGAATGAAATAAATGACAACAAACGAATTTAAACTTAGAAAAGATAAAGAAACAGGAATAAAAAACAGCCAAGAATGAGAAAATTTAAAAATAATTCTGTTTCTTCAGATGGATCAGTGTTTACCAATCTTTAATAAGTCCTTTTATTATAATGAAAATAACTATGATTACCATAGTACATATTTATAAGAAAGCTGGTGTAATACTCATAATATGAAGATGCATAAACTTGTTGGTTAAGCACTGCCAGATAAAATGTTATATGCATCACATTTCTGTTTTTTTTTTAAATTAATGTATTTGACATTTTATAGAATCGTAAATTTATTAATCATAGGGGCCAAAAGAAGGAGAGGCAGTGCTGTCTGTGCCACATTATAATGCCATGATGGCATAGACACTTCGACCTATAACACATTATTACTCATAGTTAGAAATTTACAAAATCTGTTTTAAGAATATTCGGTAGATAAAAATAATAGAAAGAGAGTCATGAATCTGTCCAATCATAGCATATGTATGGTATGTATGTCAAATTCATGATTGGCAAGCACTGATACACAACTTTCATAAAAGCCGAAGATCTTTTCTTTTTTTGTACTATACAGATAGAATTTATTCTCTTTTGCTTCGTGTACTAATCATTGTTTCATAAATATTTAATTATATATTATAGCATTTTTGTGTCATATATCTTTAATTTTCATATTAAATTCTGTAAGTCGCTTTCTGTATTTATTGTGAAACATAGAATGCTTTATCATTTCTACATTTCTGACTTAATTTTATGTAAATGTAAATTAAAATATATTCATTTAAAGTATATAAAAATTTTATTTTATTGTTAAAAATAATTTTCATTCACAATTATATTTATCATATTGTACATAATATTTTATCAAAAAAATCAATTTAAAAAAACATGATTTACTTTGTATATTTTCTATTTTGGAATAATTTGTAGTATCAAATAAGTTTATAATTTTATTTTATCTTTAACTGTTTTTACTTTAAAGTCAATACGAAAAAGTAGTAAAAAAAAGCAAGACATAAATGGTTGAATAAAAAAGAATTTATTATAAGTCATATATAAAATACGGTTGATCAATATTATAGGCAGATATAGTAACTTTCTTGATACCTTAAACTATATTTTATATTGCATGAAAATGTTACCGTTTTCGTAATAATATTATATGTTAAAAGCGTGAACAATGTTAAAACGCGATTTAATTAAACAAAGCAGAATATCCTTTAATATTCTTCGATTTTTAATATGTAAACCTGTCACATTTTTTTTTATTCAACAACACTGAGCAACATCTATTTATAGACCCCTATCTTAGATCCCTTTGGCTTATACTCAAACAAGCTCTCACGCAAGTGGAAGTGTTTATGCGAAATGAGATGATGAGACTAATAATATTTATATTTATTATTAGAAAAACGCTACGTAGATAAGTTCTAGTGACAAAGCAATCCATACGAAGGATAAACTGTTTGAGTGCAAATGAAGTATTATATAACTTTATTAGATAATAGTAGTTATTGTTACTGATTAGTGATTTTTATTAAAAATTAGAAGTACTTGTTCATGTAATAAAGACATTCGTTTAAATACAAGTGCTATTAATCATCCTCATGTAGTAGATTAAATATTGTTATCTAATTAAAATCTGTAATCTTAATATATATTTAAAAATCTTATCCTATCATTGCTATTTGCATGCAAAGTGCTATCATGTTTTATGGCATATGCAATAAAAGTTTCATATTTCTGTCATACAAAAAGATTAAGATCAGATCAAAAGGAAAATATATAATATATATATCTGAAATGCATCTTTTTTAAATACTTTTATCCTTAGAACATATATATAAGTTCTAAGTTCTATCTCATTGAGTTTGTTTAAAAAGAGAAAAAATTAACTAATCCTTAGTTCCCTTTAAAAAAAATCTTAAAATAAATTTTTTTTTTTTTTT